GTATACTATAGTCATTAAATACATGGGACCTAGAGTCAGGTAAAACCCAGTAAACCAACCCCATGTGTCAGAGTAGAACTGCTCTGTGGGTTTTCAGTGGCTGATCTTTCAGAAATAGATTGCTAGGCCTTTCCTCTGAGGTTCCTTTGGGTGACTTGAACCTCTAGCCTTGTGGTTAGAATTGACACCAGCCCAGAGAAGACAAAATGGTTCCTTTGCTATCTCAAGTATAGGAAGATAATAAGTAATTAGTTGTTGTTATTAAAATTGTAAAACATGAGAATGTAAGAAAACCAATAGTATAACAAAACTGAACCAATTAGAAAATCCATTCAAAAATTTATTAGAATGCTAATGTCAGTAGGTCAAGAATCTTAAACTGTTTTGATTTTCTGCTCAAGCTTGAGAATACAGAAAATATCTGTCATATAGTATGTTTTCAATAAAAATGTGTTGGTTGACAGAAATTTAAAAAAAAAAAAAAAAAAAGGTTCCTTTGCATCTATCCTCTACAACTGAATGGTAATAGCTACCTAGAGCACTGTTGAGAATGTATCAGGCCACATATGAATTCTGCAAAAAGCAAAGCAAGCAAACGAGAACTAGGATAGGAGAAAGAGGCTGCCCTTGTGCTATATAACTACCACTGCAAAATACCAAATAGGAAGATCACTAAATATTATTCTCCTCATGTGGATCAGTAAAATGGTCATTACCATTGACCACAAAGCATCTCCATTGCATGGACAGACTGGGAGTACAGCTGGGATTCATTTTGTTCTGGTCATGCACATATTATCTCAGATTAGTGACAGCAGTATCATGTTTATATCAATAAGAAGCACACTTGCTAGATACTCTCCTTGGAGAGAACAATCATGGGAGAAAGAAGGGCTGCTTATGCACAGGGAGACAACTCAGGCGGCAGGAGTGTATGGAGGGATGGACACAGGGAAGAGATAACTATGGGGAGGAAGCGGGAGAGGAGCTGTTGCATTGTGGTAAACTGTGGTCAATGTCATGACACAAAGTATATGTGAACTGCTGTGTGGAAAGTGAATTTGCTCTGTAAATCTTCACCCAAATCACAATTAAAAAAAAAAAAAAAAGAAGCACACTTGCTTCTACAGTTAAGCCGAATGTATAATTATGAAATAAATACTTGCTCACATTTCTCCTCCACCAAACGAAATGTTACTAAATTATTTTCTTCTGTTCAGGAAATTTCCCAGGAAAGAAAGTTTGATTTAAAAAGCTTTTTAGAACATTTTTTTTCCACACACTACTCTTTCCTTAGGAAATCTGGTAGCATAGTGCCTAAGGCACTTGACTGCTCACCAGAAGGCTGGCAGTTCAAACCCACCAGCCACTCCTCGGAAGGAAGGTTGGGCAATCCTACTTCCGTAGTGATACTGCCTCGGAAACCCAAGGAGGGGTCGCTATGAGTCGGGGGCGACTCAAGGGCAAATAACAACAACAACAACTCTTTCCTTGGCTTGTACAGAGAGACTGAGAACACATGAGTTCCCCATGAAGAAAACAGTCAATGATGGGAAAATGACCAGTAAGAGCAGAACTGATTTGCAGCCGTGACAAGAGGATTTCGAAATGCTGATAAACAGCAGAACTGCCCAAGCAAGCAAAGACAAGATTTGTTTCCATTGCAGAATCAAATTAAGTCCAAACCCAAACCAACCCTACTGCTGTTAGTTGAATCTGACTAAGAGTAACCATATGGGACTGAGGAGAATAGCCCTATAGGATTTCCAAGGCTGTAAATCTTTATGGAAGCAGGCTGCCTCATCTTTCTCTCACAGAGAGACAGGTGAGTTCAAACTGCCAACCTTCTGGTTAACAGCTGAATGCTTTAACCACTGTGCCACCAGAGCTCCTCAAATTAAGTAAGAGGTGGCTAAAAGTTCATAAACTCCCTTAAGACTCAGCTGAGTGCCCTTTCTACCTCCACTTTCAGATGCCCCCGGTAACTCTGCTGATGCATGGACAACCATGTGAGCAATCAGACCACGTTGTGGGCAGAGATGAAACTGAGGACCTGACTTATCTCTATGTTGGGACCAAGAAAACTAAGTTCTCAAGATGTGCTAGACTTCCCACTATGGCATTGTAAGATGTTGGCTGCCTCTTATTGTTAAGTTGCTGTTGACTCATGCAACCCATGTGTGCAGAGTAGAACTGCTCCATAAGGCTTTCAAGGCCATGATCTGTCAGAATCAGATCACCAGGCCTGTCTTCAGAGGTGCCTCCGAGTAGGTTTGAACTGCCATCCTTTCAGCCAGTAGTTGAGTGCTTAACCACTTACACCACCTTGACATAATAATTTTGTCTTAGAGACAATTACCATTATTTTCTTTTGGGGGAGATAAAAGACCAATTGCCATCTATGAAAACTTGCTTGATTCAGAGCCCTGATTTGTTTTGCTGTTGCTCTTTTTTCCTTTTTGCCTTGTTTTTATTTTTCTTTCTCATCCAAATCTCTTTCTCCCCTATTACCTTCCTAAAACAAATAATCAAGACAATATTTTCCATGGAATGTTCACATAATTGATGTGTTTCCCAACACCAAGAAAAAACGTATGAGGAAAGTTAGAATGTAAATGAAACAGAGTATACTCCATTTGATCTCTATTATACCTAATTTTGTATCCTTCATCCAGGCCCAGTTGACTGAAGGGTGATCTTTTTTTTGATGTGGAATTTGGAAATTACTGCTTCTGAACTCTTCTCCCTATATTATTGCTTCAGGTTGTTTCTGAAATACTGGAATTCAGCTTTTTTTTTTTTTTTTTAACAGTGCACTCTCTTAGGACTGGAGTCCCTAGGTGGTGCAAATTGTTGATATGCTCAGTTGCTGAGCAAAAGGTTGGAGGTTCATGTCTACTTGGAGGTGCTTTGGGAGAAAGACCTGGTGCTCTGCTTCTGAACAATCAGCCTTTGGAACCCCTGTGGAGCACATTTCTACTTTGACACACATCTGATGTTTGAGATGGCACATGTGAATGGAAAAATGTTTCATTTTGTTGTAAAAGTTCAGCAACCAGATTTCCACTCTTGCCCACATAAGCGAACTTAAGTCAGCCTGAGTGTTGGCAGCATGGTCAGTGAGAGTGTGTGAACAGAGTTGTTTTGGGACTGACACTATAAGAAACAAAACTCTAAAGAGTTATGCCCTTTAGATGTCAGGTAACACATCTGGCACTGACTCAGAACCAAAAGGTTTCAAACAGGATACAGGATAAGGGGATGCATTTATAAGATGTAGATAATGGAGATATTTTTGTCCACACCCTTCTGACAACTGTATGCATTGGTTATATAGAAGTTTATTGAAATCCATTAAAATACATGTCTTTTGTATGGGTATAATAAATCACCATTGGTTCACTTAGCCACACTTAGATTTAAGGATATATTTCAAAACATATTAAATTTGGACAAAAATCCTTGCAGTCCCTATAGGACACAGAGACTTAATCATGAAATTCTAAGTAGTCAAAGCAGAAACATTTGTACAAATTAAGTATATTATAGTATAATTTTCAATGTAGATAATATAAAGAAGCTCTGGTGACTCAGGGGTTAAGATCTTGGTTACTAACTAAAAGGTCAGCAGTTAAAACTCACCAGCTGCTATATGAGAGGAAGATATGGCTGGCTGAGTCCATAAAGATTACAGCCTTGGAAATACTATAGGGCAGTTCTACTCTGTCCTATAGTGTCACTATGAGTTAGAATCAGTGACAATGGATAATTAATACAGATATCTGTGTCATTAGCTGTGTATCCTCAAGCTTGATGTATAGTTCCTTTTACACACAGAAGGAGCCCCAGTGATGCAGGGGTTAAAGCGCTTAGCTGCTAACCAAAAGGTCAGCAGTTGGAACCCACAAGCCACTTTGTAGTCTGCTTCCCTAGGGATTTAAAGCCTTGGAAACCTCATGGGGGCAATTGTACTCTGTCCTTACAGAGAATCAACTCAATGGCCGTGGGTTTATACATAGACAAAACCTGAATGTGCACTTAGAAAAAATATATATGTTCCAATTTCCATTCAATTATTTCCTTTTTTTATTGTGATAAAAATGTATAACAAAACATTTGCTGTTTCAACATTTTTTGCATGTGCAGTTCGGTGACATGCAGTTACATTCACCATGTTGTGCAACCGTCACCACTATCCATTTCCAGGATTTTCAATCTCCCTTAACAGAAACACAGTGCCTCCTAAGTCAAGTGTCTTCATTGCCCAGCAAAGTCAGAATCGTGCCCATCCAACAAATTGTTAAGACCCTTTCCTATTTGGGTAATATTGATTTAGAATTAATTATGCTCTCAAACAGCATGCAGGCAATACTATCAGCTTTCTAACACAAATTAGTTTGTATCCTCATTTAACAAATGAAAGAGAGGCTAAGAGTTGGACAGCCCTCTCTGAACATAGAAGACCAAATGCTGTCCTTTTGTAAAGAGGTCGGCAGTCTCCTCTCGGACCACACAGATGACATCCGATTGGGACATGTCAAGTCTGGAAGTGGGAGCTACAAGCAGGGTAATGAAATGGCTACTCGGCCTTTCAGATGTGCCTGGAGGTCAAGTTCGTTTATTGGTTTTTAATTTAGCTGAAATTATAGAGTGGTTGAAAGATTCCTTTGTTGGCAGCAATCTTTTGAATAGCCTCACAAACCTTTTGGTCTCTCCGTCTCTCTCTTTCCTCTCCCATTTGCAGGATTAGAAAAGCACTTGGGAGGCACATTAATCTTGCCAGTGTTGTCAGGAGTGATCAGCGAGTTTTATTAAAAGCCTTGGGATTGCCTGAAAGGCCTCCTTGTCTGAATTGGAAATGAAAGGGGCATGTTGAGACCCCAGGGCACACAGTCTGGATCCCTGACCTGGCCCTGTGGACTCTGAGCTGGCCCTGTTGAAGGAAGCACAGAAGCCTCCTTTGTGTCCGACATCAGATGGACGAGCTGCCCCCTAACAGCATGACCTCTCTGGGATGGGGTGGTCCAAATGCCCTGCTGTCCCTGCTGCTGCTGCTTTTGGGCCAGGCCAGCCCCACTTTTGTTAGCGTGAACCTCGGGGTGACAGTGATGAAGGGCCGTTCCACCTTCCTGTCTGGGGACAACCTGCAGTTTGCTGTCCCCAAAGAGAAAGACACCTGCAAAGTGGAAGTGGTGATGAACGAACCAATTACCCAGAGGGTTGGGAAACTCATGCCACAGGTAGGTCATATCAGAGACTTTCTGTTCTGTCATGTGTGTGAATGCAAGTGTGTGAGAGTTGGGGGAGGGGGAGCAGTGCACAGAGAGAGGCAAAATTTCTCCCCTCAACCTATCAAAAGTCATTGTTGTAAAACAGATGTTCACGTTTGAAACGGTCGAGTTGCAATTAGCAGGCAGAGGATTACACTGTTTTTCTATGTTAGGTAAGACCTGGTTTTGAATGTTCTTGGCTGACTGTGGATTATAATCCTGCAAACAACAGGATTTACTCCTAATTACATTAACAGCTGTGGAGGAAGGCAAATTCAAACTAATGTGAACATATGTATTTTTAAAAATAATATCTACAATGAACAAGATTTCTCCAATTTTACTGAAGACAACTCTTATAAGTGCTACCAGCTGCTTGACCTCATAGAGCAGCTGATTATCAAGGAGAAAGCAGAAGGTGAGAGACTTGAACATCTCTGATTTTACTTTCTCTGTGAGAAACTTAAGGAACTTTGGTTGTGCAGTACTTAAGCATGCATCTGCTAACTAAATGTTGGTGTTTTGGAGCCAACAGTGCTTCACAGGAGAAAAGACCTGTCACCCTGCTTCTGTGAAGATTTCAGCCTAGCAAACCCTCTGGGGCATTTCTACTCTGTCACAGTAGGTCATTATGAGTTGGAATTGATCAAATGGCACACAACAACAACAACAACAAAAGAAACTAAAAAGACAAACAAAAACAAAGGATAACAAAGAGAACAAAATAGCCTGCTTTTTAAGGCTTGGAGTGGGCAGTCACTTCTGTGATGTGAGGTGGACACTTTACAGGATCCTGCCCCAAATTATCTACCCGCTTCCAGCCAGTGTGCCTTGATAATAAAATATCAAGATTCATGACATTTTTAAGATGCACTTGTAACCTCAGAACTGCAAAGGTAAACATGACAAACTTTTCATCAATTAACATCATTTGAACATTCTCTTGCATAAGAGAAGTTAGACAAGACATGAATATACTTTAAATATTCAATACTGTTTAAAAATGTCTACATAATATATATTTTTTTATTAATCAAAACCTTCAGACATTGCTATTTAAAGGTGTTCTATGGTTAGTCTTTTGCAGGTAGAGATTTACCTTTTAATTCACTGGGTTTTAAGGTGCATTTTTATATATTTATTCCTATGCACAATAGAAAATTGCTTCTGGTTTCATTGCTTGTTCCTAATGTGGTTTAAATTTGTTCCCAAATGCAAACACTCTGGAGGATATATAATGGGTACTGCTGCTGTTTTTGGAAAAATATACCGCTCCATTTGCTGAACTGTGAACATTAATTTCTCCATTTGGCTAAAGAAACATATTCCATGAGATTATTAAAAAGTTGTAGGTGTTGTAGAGGTGGAATAAAGAAACTTAGATGGATGCTAACTCAAAATGATATCACTAAAAGTTATAGTTCAATCCTGGAAACCATCAAAATTCTGTGTGTGTGTGTGTGTGTGTGTGTGTGTCTCCCACCTTGGGGGTATTCCTGATATAACAACAACTCAATATCTGCCTCAAATCTGCCTCTAGATTTTCTTTTGTCAAAGAGCTTCAGATAGACATCTAAAAATGGTCAAAAAATATGGTGAGGGCCCCAGGCTCTAAGGCATTGTATTCTCAATTTCTTGGATGTTCTAACATTTCTCCGCTTTCTCCCAACATAATGCACATTCTGCAAGTGTGTTTGATTGGCATCTGTCCATCAAGGGAAAAGTATAGAACTGAGATAGCTCACACCTGGAGCCCAGATGTGCTAAATGGGATGGGTAGGTGATACAAAAGAGCTCTGGTGGCATAGTGCCTAAGGCATTTGACTGCTAACCAGGTGCTTGGTGGTTCAAACCTGCCAGCCACCCTGCGGAAGGAAGACTGGGCAATCGATTTTCATAAAGATTTACTGCCTTGGAAACCCAAAGGGGGTGGCTATGAGTTGGAATCGACTCGATGGCAGTGAGTTTGGTTGTTATTTATTGTTGTTGTTGAGGTGATACAGAGAAGCTCGTCAGTAGGCAATGGCGACCTAGCCATAAAGACTGCAGATCTGCTGGTGGGGAGGGACAGGTACCCACATAGGACTTTAATCCTAAAGTAACTGAGGTCCCTGATAAAGCAGACACCCCAGGGCTGTACTGATCTATGTGAGTGTATTATAAAGACTGATGAACTAATAACTGAGTGCTCCTTCCAACCTACATATACATGTTGTTGTTATGGGCCGTCAAGTTGGACCTGACTCATAGAGACCCCTCCTTGGGTTTCTGAGGCAGTATCACTACAGAAGTAGATTGCCCGACCTTCCTTCCGAGGAGTAGCTGGTGGGTTTGAACCACCAGCCTTCTGGTTAGCAGTCAAGTGCTTTAGGCATTATGCTACCAGAGCTCTCTCTCTCTCTCTCTCTCTCTCTCTAAATATATACTCAGAAAACTCACTGCTGGCAAGTCGATCCCAACTCATAGCAACTCCTCCTTGGGTTTCCAAGGCAGTGTCTCTACAGAAGTAGATTGCCCAGTCTTCCTTCAAAGGAGTGGCTGATGGATTTGAACTGCCAGCCTTCTGGTTAGCAGTCAAATGCCTTAGGCACTACACCACCAGTGCTCCTGTGTATACATACATACATATATACATATATATATATATATATATACACACACACACACACACATATAATTGCTTAACATTTATTTAGAAGTGAGACTGAGCAATATTTAAAGAAGAGAACAAACCTCCTGCATATGATACTCAATCTCAGGGTGGGGTCCAAATATTAATACCCCAGTGAGAAAAGCAAAAGCCAGGCCATCTCCCTAGAAGGCAATTTGGGGAAGGCTTATTGTTTCCTAGTTTTGATTTTTTTGGTTGAGGTAGTCCCTAGTGATGCAATCAGTTAAGCACTCAACTACTAACCAAAGGTTGGTTTGAACCACCCAGAGGTACCTCAGAATATTGGCCTAGCAATCTCCCTCAGAAAGGTCACAGTCTTGGAAACTCCATGGAGCTGTTCTACGCTACATACATGGAGTCACTGTAAGTCAGAATCAACTCAACGACAACCACCACCACCAACTCTATTACTTAGACCAGCCTCTGAGTGGGTTTCTCTCTCTGCCCCAAGTATATATCTTCTAAACAAATACAACACTCTTCCTCAGAGGAAGGGAATTTTCTCTAGCATGTATTTTTGGTGCTGGTTTAATAGTCTTCATCATTTGGTCTTTTCTGTGGCACTAGGGAGCAAAAAGAGATCTGAGTGACTAGAGCTGGTAAAAACTTTTTTGTGTACAAAGGTCAAGGATTGGAGTAGACTTCCAAATCATGTTCATTTCAAACTTTGATTTTAAAGCAAAGAGGCACTTACCAGAAAGACAATAAGGAGCAGAAATAATGCAATGCTTAGCTGACTTGGGCAACTCTTGACTGCTTGGAACTGGGGCAGGGATCTGAACAGCCACAACTGACCCCTGAGCATACTGTTGCCCATTAAAAAATAAATAAATAAAAGGATTGTGTCCTGAATACTCAGTGTATGTATTTCCAGAGGCAAATCCGATAAGGTTAAAACTAGTAAGTGATTTTATCTTCTAATAATTATTCTGTAGTAAAGGAGTCCATTAAAATGTGGAGGTTTCTATAGCAAATCTGTAGATTAGGAAAACTTTGTCAAAGGAGCTCTGGTGCAGCAGTGATTAAAGCATTTGGCTGCTAACCGAAAAGGTCAGCAATTAGAACCCACCAGCTGCTCCGCTGGAGAAAGATGAGGCAGTCTGCTTCAGTAAAGATTTACAGCCTTGGAAACCCTAGGGGGCAATTCTACTCTGTCCTGCGGGGTCTGCGTCAGAATCACCTTGGTGGAAATGGTGTGCTGTTTGTCAAATTTCCAGGATATTGTTCCTGTTTTTTCATTCTAGTAATTTGAACAAAAACAAGATTTCCAGGTAAACTCTGCTTGTTTTTTGTTTTGTTTCTGGAATTTGTGCTTGTTTTTAATCCAGGCTGGTTTAGCCATCCCCAGGCATTCATTTCTTATGGAGTTTCTGAAATTGAGATAGCTGAATGTGCATGTACACATACAAAGTGGAAACATTATTCTTTAATAGAGCTTAATAGTAAGTTGAAAGCAAGGCTTATATGAACTCATTTCTTGCGAAATGATTGTATTAACAACACCCTGCTGCGTAATGAGCAGTCTTCGGTGATTTGTGCAGAAAATGTTTTGTTTAACATCTGTTCAATTAGTGTTTTCATTTCATTATTGAAGTTTGTCTTAGGACAACAAGTTCATTTTCCTATTGGATATTTGGAAAGGGTCTTCAATTGGTGCACACCAGTACTTTGGTTTAGATACCCCTCTTGATATATTCAAAAAGACCAGGTACACAGCCACATGTATTGCTTATGCTTTAGTGATAAGCCTTCCTCACCCTTCTCACACCTGATTCAAAGCAAGAAATTTCCTGGGCGGAAAACCACCCAGTTTAGTGCTGAGCTTGCTCTTTTGAGCTGGAAATACAGCAGTGAGAAAAATACCTCTAGTTTGAACCAGTTTACTCTCATTAAAGTAAGTAATGAGTTAGGAATGTGTGACAATTTAATTATAAATTGTAATTGAAAAGCAGTTGAAGTGGAAAAAAACAAACCCAGATCGTAATTAGAAAAGGATTTAGCTCTCCTTTGTTTTAGTTAGTAAATTTATGGACAATTATGGTTGTCGCCTTTTATAAAAGGAAAACATATTATGAAACATAAAACAGATGTTTCTTCTAACATAGCAGATTGTGTCTTTACTACAATAACTATTTGTCAGTAGGAGCTCTGGTAGCATAGTGCCTAAGGCACTTGACTGCTAACCAGAAGGCTGGGGGTTCAAACTCACCAGCCACTCCTCGGAAGGAAGGTTGGGCAATCTACTTCTGTAGTGATACTGTCTCGGAAACCCAAGGAGGGGTCACTATGAGTCGGGTCTGACTCCACGGCAAATAACAACAACAACAATTTGTCAGTGATATGGGGGAAGGCCTTTCCTTTCTCCCCTTCCTCGTTGTCAATTAAGAAGAGAAACCGAACCAATGATGCCTGTGGGAAAAGAAAGTCATTTGTATTAGTGGTAGTCTTCCCAGAGTGGATTATGTTGTTTGAGAACACTGGAAGCTGTAAAAAGGTACAGACATCATGAACTCAAATAGTGACAAAGTGTAAATCCTAAAGCGTATTTCTCAGCCCTCTACCAATTCAGATTGGGCAGAATGAGTGTCATAACCTGTGTGAAAGAGAAGATACTTCTGCAATTCCTTTATTAATTGTGAGTGACACCGCTCACTATTATTTTAATTATATAAAGGTAATTGCCTTTAAATCTCCATTTGTCTCATCAGTTATTTCTTTTTATATAACAAATAAAAACAGTCTTTTGTAAGTATATGAGAGACAATTGTGAGTCATGATTGGCTATGTTCAACCACAAAAGTATCCATAATTAGTGACTTCTTCTTTGAATAGGAAACACTATTTGGAACAAAAGACAGGCATATGAGCTAAACATTTACGTTAGATAGATACACTCCTTGGAGAGATCAATCATGGGAGAATAGAAGGACAGTGTATGCACAGGGAGACAGCGCAGGGGGCAGGAGTGCATGGGAGGGAAGGACACAGGGAAGAAGTAACTATGGGGAGGAAGTGGGAGGGGAACTGTTGCATTGTGGGAAATTACAGTCAATGTCATGAGACAAAGTGTACGTGAGTTGCTGTATGGAAAGTGAATTTGCCCTGTAAACTTTCACCCAAGTCACAATAAAAAGGAGAAAAAAAAAACACTATTTAGAAAAGAAAGAAAAGGAAAAAATAAAAATAAAACATATTCCTCACTTATTATCTCCTTACTCACATTTTGCATTTATGACAACAGTAAAAAAAAAAGTCTTCTATTTGACTATTTTGCCATTAACAACATATACCTAAAAAACTGACTGCCGCCAAGTCAGATCTGACTCATAGTGACCCCTCCATGGGTTTCTGAGGCAGTATCACTATGGAAGTAGATTGCCCAACCTTCTCTCTGAGGGAGGGCAGTAACAAATACCTAGGGGCAAGTCAAGAGTAATGTTGGCTGTGATGGTTAAGGTTCTGTGCCAACTTGGCTGGGCCATGATTCTCAGTGATTTAGAAGTTTATGTAATGTAATTTAGGAAGTTATGTAATGTAGTCATTCTCCATTTTCTCATCTCATATGGTCTTCTTCCATTTTCTCTTAGGCTGATTTTCACCACCAGGGTTGGCTCACTCTTTCTCTATATCCAAAACCAAAACCACACTCACTGCTGTTGAGTCAGATCTGACTCATAGTGAACCTTCCTTGGGTTTCTGAGGTGGTATCACTATGGAAGTAGATTGCCCAATCTTCCTTCTGAGGAGTGGCTGGTGGGTTTGAACCACCAGCCTTCTGGTTTGCAGTCAAATGCCTTATACATACACACACACAGAACTATAGGAGCCCTGGTGGTACAGTGGTTAGGTGCTCAGCTACTAACGAAAAGGTTGATGGTTAGAGTCTACACAGTAGCTCCACGGGAAAAAGACCTAGTTGATATGTTCCTATAAAGATTATTGCCAAGAACACCCTATGAGGCAGTTCGACTCTGTCACATGGATTTGTCATGAGTCAAAATCAACAGCATCTAACTACAACAATAATACAGTGTGTCTGTGTGAGGGATCATGTATGCCTTTGCCTATATGCACACAGGGAGACTTCTAACTCAAGTGATAAGAACCCCTGAAGAGTGTGAGTAAATAAAATTTGGACAAATGGAATTATATTTTACATGCACTGGCACAGTGATTAAAGCCAAAAGTGATTGACCAAAAAGTTGGCAGTTTGGACCTACCAACCACTCTGCAGTACAAAGATGAGGCATTCTGCTTCTGTAAAGATTTATAGCCTTAGAAACTCTATGGGGCAGTTCTGCTCAGTCCTATTGGGTCATTATGAGTCAGAATTGACTCTATTGCAGTGGATTTGGTTTGGGATTTTTTATAGGCTATAAAAAGATAATTATTTAGAAAAGCACTTACCTTCAATTTATCTGCTTGATCTGTTTGGATTTTCATTATTTACATATTATCAAACAAGACATACCTGTATGAGCAATATGGTGAATGGGCATGGGGGTAGGGTAGAAGTGGTGGTAAAAATGATTACATACAAAACTCTGACAGACCCTAATTTTTCCAGGCAGCACTCCCCTGGTGGAAAGCAAAAACAATTAAAAAACTGGTACCAGTTTTCTCACAGATATTTGTCCATTTCTTCATGTAAACTAGGTATTTGACTGCCATTTCCTTCCAAACGAAGTAAAATATGTTCACAATGGCTGCCCAATTCTTGATGAAGACACAGTGAAGCTTAGACTTTACAGGTAAGCCACAAAATAACATCATTCATTCTTTGCCAGAGAAGCATTCTATGTGGTTCAGGGATTTTTCTGTGGATAAGTATCATCATGGGGGCATTACGAGATTCCAAACTAGAAAGTACTCATTAGAAACTGGAGACCTAAACATTTGAGGCAAGAACTACAGCCAACTTTCAATTACCTGAATTTTTACCATCTTCCTTGGGGCTTTTCTGTGGTGGTTATTAGCCTTATCCTGCTTTCCTTTAGTGCTCTTAAACGGTCTCTCTGGTGTTCTAATCCTCACTTATGTTCTGGAATTAGACAATTCGCATAGTAAGCAGTGGTGGTTCAGTGGTAGGACTCTCACCTTCATGTGGGAGACTTGTGCTTGATTCTCACCCAGCACCTTTCAAGTGCAGCTATACTATCTGTCAGTGGAAGTTTGTGTATTGCCATGATGCTGAAGATGTTTCATCAGAACTTCTGGACTAAGACACAGTAGGAAGAAAGGCCTGGTCATCTACTTCCAAAAAATCAACTAATGAAAACCCTATGGATCACAATAGTCCAGTTTTGTGCATAGGTTCTTCATGAGTCAGGGAGGGCAACTTGACAACAGCTAACAACAACTATGGTCGCACAAACTATAGATATGCTAAACCACTGAGTTGTATACTTTAAAAGAGTGAATTTATTGTATATAAATCATATCACAATAAAAAATTCATTTTAAACTTAAATTCATGGTGATGGTATTGAAGTATAGATTTTGTAGAAGCAACTGAGAACTCAGTGTAGGTAGAGATAGGTCTTTACAGAGGCCTTTACTTAGTTTTTATTGCTCTTGGCTAAAATACCTCAGTATGAATTTCTCTGAAGCTGTACACTAGTGCAGAAGACTTTTGTAGAAGGCACTGGAACAGAGAATCATTCTTTAAACATTTATGAGAGGTGAGAATACATGGGCTCTTTTGGTGCTCACAGTATAAGAAGAAAGATTGTTTGAAAATTGTGATATAGGTGACAGGTTCCAAAAGAGAAACTTGAACAAGTGCTGTGCTCAGAAATTGACATGGCACCTGTGGTACTTCCCTTGGGCAGCCATAACAAAATATCACAAAGTAGGTGGCTTAAAATAACAGAAATGTACTCTCGCACAGTTCTGGATGTGTGTGGCAGGGTTGGTTCCTTCTGTGGACTCTGAGGGAGAATCTATTTCCTCCCTCTCTCCCAGCTTCTGGTGGTTGCCTGCAATCCTTGGTGTTCCTAGATTTGTAGACAGATCACTCTGTCTGCATTGTCATATGGTGTTCTCTTTTGTGGGTGCCTGTATCTCTGTGTCTAAATTTACCTCTTATTGTAAGGACAGCAATCAGTCATTAGATTAGGAACCACCCTAAGTCAGTGTGACCTCATCTACAATGAATTACAATTAACTCAATGGCACTGGGTTTATGGAACAAAGATCTTACTTACAAATAAGGTTACATTCAAAGATACTAAGGGTTAGGATGTGAACATTTGTTTTAGGGGACACAATCCAACCTATCACAACACCTAAGGATCCATTTTGAAACTCTAAAATTGGCATGGGACTGTTAGACTTTTCCAAGATTGTAGAGTTAAAAATCAAACTAACTTCAAAGACCTTGCCTGAACAATTTGAAATATCCTGGAAGGGCTAGAAGAACTGATGTTCTTTGGCTGCTCCCACTTCTTCCTCAGGTTAGAGAGGATGGAGGAGTATGAATTAAGGGCAGGGTCAGAGGTACTGTCAATGGTCTTCATCTTCAGGACAAAGGGAGTATGCAGAGGAGTTGGAGACAGATGATCAGAAAACATGATTTTTTCCTTTATACCTCATTTTAGCCTCTTTGGCAAGCCACTTAACCTCTTTATGCCTCTATTTTCTCATCTGTAAAATGGAACTAACAATGCCTCTTGAATGAGACACTGTAAAGAATTAGCCTAATGTGGCTATAATGAAAGCTCATCAATTAGGAATACATTGTTGACACACACTCATCACTCATTAATTTTTTCTCTTAGAGAAGAATGACAAGCCATTTTTAAAGTCTCTGAAAATACCCTAGATACTAAGTCATTAAGAGGATGGAGTGAGTGGAAGTAATAATTGCTAATACTCTTTTTGTGCCAAACACTGAGCTGGGTACCTCAACTAGACTATAAATGACCACTCATGTGGTGGTGTATCTGAACAGCAGAAAGGCCCTGATGCTTCAGAAAATCCCTCCACCCTTTCACCCCTAGCTCGAATATAATCCATTAATTATACAGGCTTGATCCTCTTAAATTACATATGCACTCAGATTCTCATAGAAGTGAGACTCTGTGCTCTTAGCAGTCATTAAATATCCATATGGATGATTGATTTGAGAGCAGGCATTGAAGAAAGGTGCCTGGAGGGAGAGGTAGCAGAAAAAGAAGTTGTCACCAAGGGAAATGGAAGAAGGGAAAAGAGAAGGGAGGTGTGAGTAGAGTATGAAACAGAATCCAAACTCTACCTGATATACAAATTTTGTGAAGGCCAAAGCCAGGTAGATGGATATCAGAAGTATCTGTACACCAGTAAATATTGCTTTTGCTCCATTTTCTCCATAGATTTACCGAAACAGATACCTTCACAGAAACCTTTATCCTGCGGGTCTATCTCCTGGAACCAGACTGTAACATCATTCAAATGACTAACAATGTGCTGGAGGTGTCTGAATTCTATGACTTGTCCCGTGCCATTGATAAGAACTTGCTCAGCTTTGACTATGATCGGGCAGCTAACCTGGAGTGTACTGTCAGGCTGGACCCTGTAGAAACCTGGCTACCTGCTCATGGCCAGATGGTCCTGGTGGAGCCTGGGCCAGAAGAACCTCGTGGAGATCAACCACACAGTTTTTTCCCTGAGTCACGTATGATATGTTTTAATAAAATAACTATAAATAGTCATCTTCCACCTTGACAAAGAGTTTTAGTTGACTACTACATAAAACTTTTAGCTAATTGAAAAAATATTATATGATGGTTAAGAGAGTAGACTCTGGAATCAGAAGGTCCTGGGTTTGAAAACTGCCTCTGCTATTTATGTTCTGCGTTATTTTAGACAAATTACTTAACCTGTCAAAGTCTCTGCAAAATGGGAAAGGATAAAGCTATCCCTCGGGGTGTTAGAAGAAGCTCTAGTAGCGTAGTGCCTAAGGCACTTGACTGCTAACCAGAAGACTGGTGGGTTTGAACCTTCCTCCTCAGAAAGAAGGTTGGGCAATCTACTTCTGTAGTGATACTGCCTCGGAAACCCAAGGAGGGGTGACTATGAGTCAAGTCCGACTCCATGGCACACAACAACAACAGGGGTGTTAGAAGAATGGGAGTAAGTGAGATCACATGCACATAATGTGTGTGACTCATATAAGTGCTCAGTAATTGTTAGCTGTTGTTGTTAGTGAGGAGTCCTGGTGGTGCAGTAGTTAAGCACTTAGGTGCTAACTGAAAGGTTGGTGGTTCATACACAGTAGAAAAGACTTGGCATATGCTCCCATAAATATTACAGCCTAGAAAACCCTATGGGGCAGTTCTACTCTGTCCTATAGGGTTGCTAAGAGTCAGAATCAACTCGATGGCACACAACAACAACATTATCAGTCATAGGTCAATGGGTGGCACAAACGTTTTGCAATCAGCTACTAACCTAAACTTTGGTGGTTCAATCACACAAAAAGCACTGTGGAAGAAAGGCTTGGAAATGTGCTTCTGTAAAGATTATAGCTAAGAAAACCCTATATGGCAGTTCTACTTTGTCCTATACAGTCTGGACAAGTTGTAATATACTGAATGGCACACAACAACAAATACATAATAGTGTTCTAGTTACTAAGGACAGATAAAGATATATAAGGGATAACTTGAATTTGGACAGAAGTTTACAGTTAAACACACATTTGTGCATAAGTCATCTCATTTAGTTTTCGCAATCATCTGCTTAAAACCAAAAACCAAACTCAGCTGCCATTGAGTTGATTCCAACTCATAATGAGATCCTCAATGGGTTTCCAAGGCAGTAAATCTTTACAGAAGTAGATTGCCCAATCTTCCTTCTGCAGAGTGGCTGGTGGGTTTGAACTGCCAACCTTCTGGTTAGCAGTCTAATGCCTTAGGCACTATACCACCATTCTACTCCTGCTTAAGAAGTAGAATATCCATTTTGTACATCAGGGAATTGAGACCACAGTATGTGGCCTGTGAACATCATATACCCCACAAGCATGAAATATTTAGTTGGAAAGAGATGTGCAAACTATTCAGAAGACAATCATGGTATTTCACTGTACATAAATTATATTTCAATAAGATGTATTTATAAATAAATAAATAAGTAAAAAGACAATTATGGTTTCAGTGGAAGGGAGAGAGTGGATTGGTTCAGATGGTCAAAAAATATTTTGAGGAATTTAGTTGGCAAACTAACTAGGCCCGGAAGGACATGCAGAATTTGAGTGTGTGACAAGCAGAATAGGGAATTTCAGTAAGTAGAACAGTCTATTAGAGATTGTATGATGACACTATGAAAGCTGATACTGCAAAGGAAGGCTGGAGCTAGATTGTGGAAAGCCTCAGAGAGTTACTGGTCTCTTTGCCATTAATGTCCAAGCACCAGAAAATACACTGAATTATTTTTTTCTCTCATTTTAATTTTTGGTGATCAAGGACCTGGTGAGACAACTAGCCACCTATTCTTTTCAGTAAACTTAATTACAAGCTTTCAGACTAATGGCAACCCACTCAGTGAATGGTCGGAGGGTGCACATCAATATTTCTTGGGATGGACAAAGGAAATAAATATCCATAGAAGGGAGGATTTGTTTTTAAGTTTCACGATCTCTATGTTCCAGTGACTGTCTTGATCCAATGTTGTGTATTCTAGGACTGGGAACAGAACTGAGGTGTCCAGGTGGAAGCTGTCCCATAGGACTGAAGAAAGTAGGAAGTCTCAAAGTAAGCTGTGAGGAGTTCCTGCTGATGGGTCTTCGATATCAACATCTGTATCCCCCTTCACCCAACATTGACTATATCTCCATCCGCCTGGATCTCACAGATAGCAGGAGTAAAACCATATACAAGGTAGAGCTTGAAGTTGCGTGTATCTGTCCATAGCTGGTCCAAAGTAAGAGAGCCAATACCATGGGGGGCCTCTTGCTGGCTTCCATGCCAGGGAGCAGTCCTCGTGCTATTGTGGGTGGAACTGCATGACTCACTGGAGTTGTAGGCACCTATTCTGCCAATATGTATAGTATTGGCATTTAATTTCCTTTTTCTGGCCCTTTTCTACCTTTAAGGTAACTAATACAATATGGCAAAGAATCGGGCTAGTTATATGCCAACTTCCTTCTTTACTTCCCTTCAGTATTCTTCAGCTTGGCATTTGACCTATTGTAACACCTCTTCAATGCTTCTTTTCCTCTTTGGTTATTAGAACCTCTTTTTACCTATTGGAGGAAGTTAGGGAGTTCACATACCCACTCTGCAAGATGAAGGGAAACTGGCAGAGAGGACTTCAATCCAACTGTTGTAATAGATTCTGTCATTTTCACTCTTCCAGACTTTGGGATGGAGAGTTGGTCATTAAGGAAGCACACCTCCAAAGGACTTTTCAGCCTTAGAATTTATATTTAAAAAAAGAAATTATTTGTTTTTGATGGTAATATATACAAGCAAACATACAATTTCTAAATGAACAGTTCAATAACACTGGTTATATACTTTATATTGTGTCACCATTCTATCTCTACCCATATTGTTTCATTACCATTAATTGAGGCTCTCTGCCTGTTAACGTTCTCATCTGTATTTAGATTAACTGTTACCAGTTTACATTTATGTAGATAATTCTTTTTTGTTTTAATACATTTAATTGAAATATAACTTATGTACAGTGAAATACACAAAACTAAAGTGAAATGGGTCAATGCATTTTTTTTTTCTGCAGCATTCCCTCCCCTCCCCTCCCAACCCTAGTAACCAACAAAGAAAGTTTCCTTCCATATATAAACCTTTCCTTGACTTTTTACAATAATGAGCTAATACTATATTTGTCCTCTTATGGTTGACTTATTTCACTCAGCATAATGTCCTCCAAGTTCATCCACATTATGCAGTCTTTTGCAGATTCTACATTATTCTTTAGTGTTCCATAGTATCCCATTGTGTATATGTATCATAGTTTGGTTATCCATTTTTCTGCTGATGGGTATGTAGGTTGTTTGCATCTATTTGCTATTGTAAATAGTGCTGTAATGAAAGGGATGTGCACATATCTGTTCTTGTCCTGGCTCTCACTTCTTTAGGGTATATGCATAGTAGTGGGATTTCAGGGTCAAATGGTATTTCTAACTCCAGCTTTTTAAGGAATCACCATACTGCTTTCCACAGTGGTTGTATCATTTGATAGTGCCACCAGCAGTGTATGAAAGTCCCAATCTGTCCACATCCTCACCAGCATTTGTTATTTTCTGTCTTATTGAACTTTGCCATTAGTGCTGGGGTGAGAGGGTATCTCATTGTTGTTTTGATTTGCATCTCTCTGATGGCTAATGATTGTGAACATTTATTCATTTGTTTGCTGGCCACCTGAATATCCTTTTTGATGAAGTGTCTATTCATGTCTTCTCCCCATTTTTGAATTATATTGTTAATCTTTTTGTGTTGAAGTGTTGGAGTTTTCTATAAATTTTAGAGATAAGTCCCTTGTCAGATATGTCATTGCCAAATATTTTTTCCCAATCTGTAGGCTCACTTTTGACTCTTTTGGAGAAGTCTTTGGAAAGACATAAAAATTTAATTTTTAGAAGGTCCCATTCATCTATTTTATCTTCAGCTGTCTATAAATTTTCAGTTATGCTTAACAGTCTATTTATGCCATAAATTAGGGCCCCTGAATATGCCCCTATTTTTTCCTTGAGGAGCTTTACAGGTTTTTTTTTTTTTTTTTGTTATTTGCCATCGAGTTGGACCCAACGCATAGCGACCCCTCCTTGGGTTTCCGAGGCGGTATCACTACAGAAGTAGATTGATTACCCAACCTTCCTTCCAAGCAGTGGCTGGTGGGTTTGAACCGCCAGTTTTCTGGTTAGCAGTCAAGTGTCTTAGGCACTGCGCTTCCAGGGCTCCTTTACAGTTTTAGGTTTCACATTTAAGTCTTTGATCCATCTGGAGTTAGTTTTTGTGTATGGTGGGAGGTATGAATATTATTTCATTTTTCTGCAAATGGTTATCCAGTTTTACCAGCACCATTTGTTAAAGAGATCATCTCTTTCCCGTTTAATGGATCTCAGTCCTTTGTCAAAAATCAGCTGACCATATAGGTCGATGAATCTATTTCTGGGTTCTCAGTTCTGTTCCACTGGTCTCTGTGTCTGTCATTGTACCGATACCAGGCCAATTTGACTACTGTGGCTGTATAGTAGATTTTGAGACCTGGGAGTGAGAGATCTCCTACTTTGTTCTTCTTTTTTAATACTGCTTCGCTTATTTGAGATCTCTTTTCCCATATAAAATAAGTGATTGCTTTTTTCCATATCCTTAAAGAATACTGATGGAATCTGGATTGGGATTACATAGAATGTATGTTGTTGTTGTTGTTGTTATGTGCTGTCAAGTTGATCTGACTCATAGCGACCCCTCCTTGGGTTTCTGAAGCAGTATCACTACAGAAGTAGATTGCTCCATCTTCCTTCCAAGGAGTGGCTGGTGGGTTTGAACCTCCAGCCTTTTGGTTATACATAGAATGTATAGATGGGTAGTATTGACATTATCACAATGTTTAATCTTCCTATCCATGAGTGCGGTATGTTCTTCCATTTATGTAGATATCTTATGGTTTCTTGGAGTAGTGATTTGTAGTTTTCTTTGTCCCTACTGAGATTTATTCCCAAGTATTTTATTTTTTTGGTAGCTTTTGTAAATGGTGTTGATTTCCTTTTCAGCAATCCCTTTCCTGGTGTAGAAGAATCCAGCTGACTTTTGTATGTTAATCTTGTATTCTGCCACTTTGCTAAATCTCTAAATTATTTCCAGTAGTTTGTTTTATCTGAATCTCTTGGGTTTTCTATGTACAGGATAATATCTTCAGCAAATATGGATAGTTTGACTTCTTCCTTACCAGTTTGGATGCCTTTGATTTTCCTTTTTTGACTTATTGCCTTGGCTAGGACTTCCAATGTAATGTTGAATAGAAGTGGTGATAGAGGGCATCCTTGTCTGGTTCCTGTTCACCAGGAGAATGGTTTCTGTTTCTCTCTATTGAGAATAATGTTGGCTGTTAGTTTTGCATATATGTCCCTTATTATGTTGAGGAATCTCCTTTCTATTCCTATTTTGCTGAGAGTTTTTTTTTTTTTTTTAAATCAGGAATCGGTGTTAGGTTTTATCAGATGCCTTTTCTGCATCAATTGATATGATCATATGGTTCTTTTCCTTTGTTTTATTTATGTGATGAATAACATTGGTTGTTTTTCTAATGTTGAACCATCCTTGCATACCTGGTCTGAATCCCACTTGGTTATAATGTATTGTTTTTTTGATATGTTGTTGGAGTCTGTTGGCTTGTATTTTGTTGAGGATTTTTGCATCTATATTCATGAGGGATATTGGTCTGTAGTTTCTCTTTTGAGTGATATCTTTGCCTGATTTTGGTATCAAGGTTATGCTTGCTTCATAAAATGAATTTGGGAGGAGTCCATCCTTTTCTATGTTGTGGAATAGTTTGAGTAGGATTGGTGTCAGCTCTTCTCTGAATGTTCGATAGAATATGTCAGTGAAAACATCTGGGCCAGGGTTTTTTTTTGTTGTTGTTGGTAATTTTTTTTTTATGACCTATTTAATTTCTTCTTTTGTTATGGGTCTGCTTAAAATTTCCACCTCAGCCTCTGTTAGTATAGGTAAGTAGTACGTTTCTAGAAATCTGTCCATTTCTTCTAGGTTTTTGAATTTGTTGGAGTATAGTTCTTCATAGTATCTTGATATTACCCTTTAAATTTCTGTTGGTTCTGTTGTGGTGTCACCCAATTCATTTTTTATTCATGTTATTTGTATTCTCTCTGCCAAAGGGGCAGGGAGGCTGTATCTTCTGACCTACTCTAATCCCCTAAGACAGAGACAGAATCACCATCAATAGCCCAAGGCTCTTTCCTGTGATGCCAGACCTGCCGCCTCCCTCCGGTCCTTTCAAAAACCCTGACACCAACTGTTCCTCCCACAGCACCCACCACCTCTCTGCTGGGTTTGATAATTCACTGCAGTGGCCACACAGAACTCACAGACTACAGGGTTTATTAGGGAAGCAACAGGCTTCAAGTTCAGGAACATGCTCAGTCTCTCTCAGCCTGCTGTCTCTCAGCCAACAGTCTTTCTCAATCTCTCTCAGCAGTGCATGTCTCTCAGTGTCTCTCTCAGCAGTGTGTGTCTCTTGCATCTCTCTCTCAGCAGCATGTGTCTCTCATGTCTCTCAGAAGCCTGTTTCTCTCAGCAGCACATCTTTCTCAACCAGCAGTCAGAGAGACTCCTTCTGCCTCTAGGAGGGCTCCTTTTGAGCCTGGCAGAGTGACCAAAGCAAGCAATCTCCACATCAGAATTCTATACACCTGAGAGAGTGCGGACTACTCAGAAGATTGCTTTGTGTTGCTCCCAACAGAAATACCCCAGGTGGATAACTCTAACAATCAGGAGCTACTCAGTTGCTCACGGCAAATTCCACCACAGAGTTTACCAAGACTTATGGCTAGAAAAGCCACACTATGTAATTTACTACATCGCACTCCCCCTCTATTCCTTTGTTAAACTTCCCAGTGACTTGTCAATTTTTTCTATTTTCTGTTTCATTTATTTCTGCTCCCATCTTTATTATTTCTTTTTTCTGGTGATTATAGGCATTTTTGCTGCTCTTTTTCTAATTGTTGGAGATGTTGGGTTAAGGTGTTGATTTTGGCTCTTTCTTCTTTTTTGATGTGTGCATTAATTGCTATAAATTGGCCTCTAATCACTGCTTTTGCTGTGTCCCAAAGATTTTGGTATGTTGTGTTTTCATTCTTGTTTGATTTAAGGAATATTTTAATTTCATTTTTTAT